TGGCTAGGGTTTGTGAAGGATAATTTCTGCAGAGTTTCAGTAGGAATTTAGACGTACCTGAACCCTTGTGTGTAGCTAGGTATTTACAGGAGCCTCGGAGGCTAGGGTTTCAGAGGAATAATTACGTAGATGGAAAGGAATTATTCCTCCCCGATTAGGCGAGATTTGATTAATTAGGGATTTGATTTATTTGATATAAATCAAATCCCTAATTGGGGTAGGAATCAAATCAATCCCCGTTTTAATTAGGTAATTGCCAATTTAATTGGGTAACTCCCAATTAAATTGAGTAACTCCCAATTAGGGCAAATAATCCCCAAATGGAAGGAATTATTTGACCTAGGGTGATTTAATTCGGTTCCCACATGTATTACAGGAAGTTTATATTAATATTTGGAATTATTTAGGGTGGAAGAATCTTCAAGAAGCCATTCAAATTTGGAGATGAGTGAAGAAAATGATGAGGTTGAGATTGGACTGGAAAATACAATGAGCCTAGAAGAAACAAAACAAGAACCTAAGGTAAATATGATTTTTAACACAGCTGATGAGGTGCTTGATTATTATAAAAAATATGCAAATCGAGTAGGTTTTCCAATGAAGAAGAGATCATCGAAGAAAGGAGATTGTGGGGAGTTGAAATATGTGACTTTATCATGTTCTCGATCAGGGATCCCACAAGGTATTGTAAGCAATGTCCTAAAGCCATATCCAAGCATAAAATGCAATTGCAAGGCTCAACTTAGGGCAGGTATATGCTTGGATGGAAGGTGGAAAGTGAACTCGGTCAAACTTGTTCATAATCATGGATTGAATCCAGATGATGCTCGATATTTTCGAATGAATCGTGCAATAAGTTCGTATATGAAAAGGAAGATTGAAGTGAATGATAGAGCTGGAATAAGAGTAAATAAGAATTATAATTCAATGGTAGTTGAAGCCGGAGGGCATGAGAATATGTCATTCATGGAAAAGGATTGTAGAAATTACATTAACAAAGTTAGAAGATTACAGCTTGGGGAAGGAGATGCAACTACAATTCAAAAGTATTTCTTGAAGATGCAAGCTCAAAATGCAAATTTTTTTTTATGCAATTGATCTAGATGAAAGTGGTCGGTTACGGAATGTGTTTTGGGCAGATTCCAGGAGTAGGGCAGCATATGAGGAATTTGGTGATGCCATTACATTTGACACGACCTACTTGACGAATAAGTATGACATGCCATTTGCTCCATTTGTAGGTGTCAATCATCACGGGCATTCAATTTTGCTTGGATGTGGACTGATTTCAAGTGAAGATACTGAGACATTTGTTTGGCTTTTTAAAGTGTGGTTGGCATGCATGTCTAGGCATGCTCCATGTGGGATAATTACTTATCAAGACAGGGCCATGAAAAATGCTATTGAGATTGTCTTTCCTAACACTAGGCATCGTTGGTGCTTATGGCATATAATGAAGAAGCTTCATGAAAAGCTTAAGAGTTATAAACACTATGAATCTATTAAATTTACCTTGGAGAACATTGTGTATGATTCATTGACCAATATTGAGTTTGAAGATCGTTGGAAAGAGATGATTGAGAAGTATGAGTTACAGAGTAATGATTGGTTACGAGGCTTATATGATGAAAGACGTCGTTGGGTGCCAAGCTTTGTGAAAGGAAGTTTTTGGGCGGGCATGTCTACCACACAACGAAGTGAGAGTATGAATGCATTTTTTGATGACCACGTAAATTCTAAGACTACCCTGAAGCAATTTGTGGAACAATATGAAAATGCATTGATGACTAAGGTAGAAAAAGAGAACCAAGCAGATTATAAGTCTTCCTCTGCAGATATCCAATGTAGCACCCACTACTTTATGGAGAAACAAGCTCAAGGTGTGTACACTATTGCAAAATTCAAGGAGTTCCAAGATGAATTAACAGGTAAAATGTATTGTGAGGTAGTTGATACCAAGGAAGATGGTGTGTTTTTAAAGTATCAAATATCTAAAGATATGATAATTGCGGGAAAAAAAGAGAGTGTAAACTTTACAGTCATATTCCATGAATTTGACAGCGAAGTTAAGTGCAATTGTTCCAAGTTTGAGTTTAAGGGAATATTATGCAGACATGCCATTTATGTCTTGATTAAGCATAAGATGGATTTAATTCCAGATAAATACATCTTGCGAAGATGGAGGAAAGATGTGACAAGACGTCACACAAAGATTAAAATTAGCTATAATGAGTCAAATGCCACACTTGAAGCACATCAGTGTGATAAGATGCAGAAGACCTTTGATGAGATTAAGGAGTTGGCAACTGATTCTGAAGAAAAGTGTGTGATTGTGATGGCTTGGATGCAGAAACTAAAGGAGCAATTGTCTAACCAGGACAACGTTTGTGGGAGTACTCAACCAACTCCCGAGTCACCAACTGGTAGGAGCTTTGACAATTGTGTTAATGAAATTTCAAATTCGAAGAAGATACTTACCCCGTTAGCAGTCAGAAGCAAAGGTCGACCACCATTTAAAAGGAAGCAATCTAAAATGGAACAAATTGTTAGAAAGAGAAAACAAGGAGAAAAGAAGAGCACATCTCAAGAAAAAAATACTAATAAAAGAAAAGGAATGAAGGTATGCAAATAAAATAGCTATTACTTATTTTGTTATGTTAAGTGAGTAAATATTCATGGAGTACATGTGTTGTATTTGTATATTTTTCAGGCGTTCCAGATGGTAGAAAGTGATGTTCCACCCACTGACAAAATTAGTTGTGATATAGTTGGAACACAAGAGAGTATTCTTTTTATTGTAAGAATATTTAGTTGTGATTCCCATTCTTTATCTTGGCTTTGCTACATATGTATTTTTTAAATGAGATACTTGGTTTTTTTGTACTTCAGCATTACTCTATATGTATTATATAACCATCGATTTTTCCATCATTATACATTTGTAAATAGTGTTGAGTCAAAATTGCCCTATCAGTTTCTCAAATTCTTAAATAATAACAGTTATGAAATCTTTAGGAATAAATATCACAACAAATAAATAGTACCTTAAATTTTGTTTCCTCTCAAAAACGAATTTATACAATAAATGTTTCATTACATGCAGTGTTATAATGGGTGCGACATTGGCATATGAGATGATGCATGCATGATTACTTCTTAAAGGTTCGAACAAAAGATTAATTTTTTTTAATTTCATCCATTTTTCTCTTGTAATGAAACATCATTTTTTTTCTTTGAATGATTAATTTTTTCTAAGCTATTTTCCCCTCATAATTAGTGAAATATATAGCCTATATTTTATTCTATAAATGATGGTTTATGTACTTGTAAATTGTAATAGGTTGTAAGAAATTGGATAGCAGACTAAGCAGAGTGTGCGAAGGTATTTGCGAAGCGATGGCACACCTGTGGTTGGAATGGTTTTGTGATGAGGGAAAGAATAATTTGGACTCTTACACAATCGAGCAGGCTGAGTTTATGAAGATTTTGAAAAGGTTTCATGCGTACAAGATGGCAACCAGAGTTGACAAAATTTATGGAGATGGATTTAGAGAAGTTCAGTGCGCGGTTAGTACATCTAACCTCCATAAAACCCTGCAACATATCATTCGACACAAGACTCTCCCTCCTCGGATCCATAGCAACTCAACTTGTTAATATAGAGGAAATTAGTAGAGATGTATTTTTCCAAATGTGACAGGTAAGTGAAAAGTTGTGGGAGAGAACTTAGTGTTAATTAGTTTTGAATGTTTTTATCACTTATTCCTATTTCTCTCCTCTAAAATAGGTTTTTAAGGCTGCATGTGTTTTGACTATGATGAAATGCGCGTAATTGAATTGCTCATGACTGTAATTGGAACATAGAGATAAATGGGAGTTGAATGCATTAAATAATATGTCTCATATCTTTAAACTTGATTCTTAGTTATTTTATTTGTACTATTTTCCATTCTCTTTAGCATATTAATTAATCAAGTAAATTTTGCAAAATTTTACCTAGCTCTTGGGCTCTATTGGTCCCCCTTTCCTTGGCCACTTCCCACTTTTAAAGACAACCACACTGTCAATCACACAAAGTTTCAAACCTGCTTCAATGCCACCCAACTAAGAATACCCCTATAATTCCACATTTAGGTTTTTTTATATATTAATTTTCTAGTTTTCTAGTTTGTAGAGTAGAATAATATATTTTACCTAATCAACCACTTTTCTTACACAAAGAGGGAATCCATCCAGTCCATATAGACAAAAGAAGAAATAGAAATGGAGGGTATAGCATTAATTCCCCAACTCTAGTTAGCTAGCTATGGCTTTGCCAACTTTGTAAGACTGAAATTCAAAGCCCCATTGAACCAACCCTTGTTACTGTTTGTGTGTTTTCTGTGTATTTTAATAGAGATTTTCTGCAACCTTTTGAAACTTGCAGAGAATGTAGAGAGAATTTCAGAGAGAGAATGATGGAATCAAATCTGGAATTCACACACGCACTCTCAATGGAGAGTTTGTTGCCGTTATACATGGAAGAGGAAAGGAGATCCTTCAATCAACAACTTGAAATAAAATCTCAGCCCTTAATTGGTATCATCCCATGAGATGATGCCACATGTCTTAATCTATCACTTAAGCTAGATACAAAAGAGTATTGCCACATGGACTATGATCCAAGGGTGTACATTTAAACTGAAAACAACTATTAAAATAAACATTTTTATTGTTTCTTTGTCTCCAAGTTGCGGCTGAAGGATTACACACCAACAACCCTGTTTCCCTTTTGGGATGAACTTTTAAGGTTAGCTTAACATTCTATTTTGGAAAGTTTAAGAAAATTATAATAGCCCAATAGTCTCTTTATCTATACCTATATTTTTTAAAATTTTGAGACCTCATATAGCTTTGCAATTTTTTCAATGAATCATGTTAATCTATAGCAACAAAAAATATTGTATCTTCATTCATTCTCTATTGTGAACTATACTTGTTCAAAAGTGAAGGAAAAAGCAAAAGAAAATGGATTCGTCCAAGTGGTTTCTTCTGCTGGTTGTTGTTGCTCTCATGGTTGAAATAATCGATGCACCTATACTTGCACCACCTCCCACCCCTGCTACCCCCGATGTATGTATTTTCTCTTTTGTTTCAAGTTTATGGGAAATGTCTAATTGTTGCATGCTCTTCATCATATATTTCTTATTTGTTTCATATAATTGTTGCATGTTTTCTCTCTCCCCAAAGTTAGATTTGAGGTTAGAACTTAGTAGCAGATTGTGTGATTGTGGTTGCTTTATTGTTTGTTTCATTCAAATTTCTGGGAAATCTATAACTGCTGCAATTACCTCTTGAAGAAACACCTACATTTCATTTTCAAGAACCAAGTGTTATATGTCTTCTCTTTCCTTAGACCTTTTCAAATATATATCCAACTGTATATGAACACAATTATTATTTTTTTACATAAAAATTGTAAAAAAACTACTTACGAGTTTTGTTCAAACATATAAATTTGAAGTATCTTTTTTTACATAAAAAAACCCCTTTGACCAAGAGGTGACTCGAATAAGATTCATTTATCATGTTGTGGCCCCAACTCTAGTTATCTAGCTCTAGCTTTGCCAACTTTGCAAGATTGTAATTCATTCCCTCATTGAACTAGGCAACCGAACCAACCTATTTCTATTTTGGGATGAACTTTTGGTTCCTATGTAGCTTAATGTTCTATTTTGGAAAGTTTGGAACAATCTTAATAGCAAAATAGTATGTTTATCTATACATATATTTTTTCCATTTTGAGACCTCTCACAACCATGCAATTTTTTCAATGAATCATGTTAGGTCCTTTAAAGTACATAAATATTCTATCTTCATTCTTTCTATGTTTGTATCTAAAAGGGGGGGAGGGGGGATTTCCAGTGAATTTTAATCAGTAAATTATCTTAATTAGGTGTTCTACTCTGCGTACTTTCGTGGATGAACCCACGCAAGGTTAAGCTAGCTGGACACGAGGTAAGGTTTCCTAATTTCCCGATGATTGGGCTATAGGTCAAGGACCAACCAAATTAAAAAGTTCTTGTTGATTCATACACAAACACAACAAACAATTAAGTGATTAACAAGGTAAGACAATTAACGGCTGAAAGTAAACAACACACAAGAGTTGTTGACCCTGAAAACCCAAGTGGGTAAAAAACTGGGAGCACCAAGCTAGGAGAGATCCAATCCACTCATTAAGAAATACAAGAAAATGAAGAAAGACTTAGCTCAATCTATCACCTATAGGCAGCTTCAATCAACCTTTCAGCACATACCATTTCTTTTTCTCTTAGCCGCAAATCCTCTCAAGAGCACCAAGCTCTAGTTGTATGTAATTTGATGTATGGAGTGAGTTATGGTTTCACAAATTCATCTATCTCAATCATAGAGCATGATTGAGCTAGACGAATGAAACATAAGTGTTGTGATGAATAAACTAGAAGTAATGTATTTAAAGCATAAAGTTTAATTCAACATAACAACAACACAGAAATAGTTTAAAGCCGAAATCTTGTAAATTTATACTTGGAGAAGTTTATATGTATACTATCAATCGTATACTCTCAAGCAACATATACTAGCTGAAACATTTGTAAAGATTGAAGTAAAGAAAAACAGTAAGCCATTAAAGATTTAAAGTCATCTTGGGGAAGCACTTATTTGAATGCAATCATTCTCATAACCCTCAAGAATATGAACTTAGGCTGAAAGGAAAGAAACTCTTTTCAGAGTTTTATTCCCACTCGGTTTTTCAGTTGAAAAGCATGACTAGAAGGAAGGCAAGTGACATCTATTCAAAATGCATGATTTTCCCTTTTAAAACCCAAGTCTATCCAACACGTAGCTTATATAGAGAGTTTTAAAAACATATTTTAATTTAAAGCTACTGTCCTAAGCATTTCAACCAAGGAGCGGTGCAAGACACAAACAGCAAGCTCAGAGAATAAAACAGAAGGCATGTGTTTGTCTTTTTAATAAACCCAAGGAGCCGCACTTTTGAATCAAGGTCTGAAGAGTGGAATTAAAAAAATAGTTTATAACCCATCTCTTGGAGAAGGTGGTAGACAAGAAGATAACAACCAAGAGGTATGGGTTAAAAACTAATAAACAAATGAAATGCTTGAATCTTTAGAAAACAAAACCGTTTGAGAGTAAGTAAATTATTCTCACATGTTTGTCAGCCCTTTTTGGAAGGGAAGGATTAAAAAAGCGTTAAACCTGAAATAAAGAGAAATGTTGCAGCAAACAAGCAAAAATGAAAGTTGGATCAATACATGTGAACATGTATTAATCCAGTGAAAATGCATGTGAGTTTTACCTTTGGCAGCAACGTGAGGACTGGGATGATCTTCAATCTATTTCAGGCTTAACCTCTAATCTATCTTAGAAACTAAGAATTAATACAATGGTTTTGTAAAATTACAAGAGAAGAGCCAAACTTAAAAATACAATCCTTACAATCTCCCACTTTGGCCTTTTCTTAAACAAAACCATAAGATTCAATTCTAGTATAACAACAGTAATAACCTATTGATTTTGACAAAGTACCTGCACAACCTTCACAAGAAGAGTTAAATGATTCCACCATATACACACAATCCATAAAAGCCATTAAATATAAGTTTAACAGATAGTTTTATAAAAGCAACACAGAATTGAAATTGTCCCCCAAAATTGTCCCCCTTTTTGTCTTAGAAAAGACAAAGGGACAGCAGCTCCAACTTAGTAGGTGCACATAGCTCCCCCTTAGTATGTGCACATAGCTCCCTCTTAGTATTAGATCCGACATTTCCTAGCAGGAAGCTTCCTCCTCATCGTAGGAATGTTTGGAGAAGCAGCAGGAGTTGGGGAAGGATTACCAGATTCACCAAGAGCTTCTTCAGTAGATTTTCGCTTGTGAGATTTGAGAAGCGTGCTAATGAAGTCCTCATCCGAGGCAGAATCAGCAATGTCTTCCTCAACAGAGTTGGTAGGATCAGAGGAATCAAGAGAAGCAAAAGGGACAACAGTTTTTGAAGAGGGAACAACACCCTAGAGACCATGAGACACCAACAAGTTTTGAATGGCAATGATGGAGGCTTGGTTGGCAGAAATGGCATTGGACATTTCTTTTAACAGATTATGCATGGTGTCCAGTTTGGATTGTAGTGCAAGAATTGCAGTGTTAGAGGAAGAACTGGAAGAAGAAGCAATGGTAGGCGGGCGTTTTGATCTGGTGGAGGCAGCATCACTGCGTTTGAAAGTGGTGGCATCCACAGTGAGAGGAAGACGTCTGGAGTTAGAGAAAAACACAGGACACCCGGCTTGAAGAGCAAGAGATGTAATCAAGGAGGGAAAGACAAGACAAGTAGATTTGTCATTCTTGTTTTGAACTCCAGCATGTAAGATACTGTTAAAAATGAGTCAGCTGATGGGTGCAGGGTCTGAGGAAGAAGTCATGAGATATGCCATGCCAACAAGGGATTCGGCATTCTGGATTTGTTGGTAGGAGCAAAGACATTGGATTTTAACAGATAACACAGACATCTACCTAAAGGGGTCATATTGCCAATGGTGAAGGGACCTTTAGGTTTGACAGGACTGTCAGGTTTGAATAGAGCAGAATTGATTTGCTCTAAAGGAACTGACTCGGCTTTGTTCCAGAACACAAGAGATAGGGCAGCAGAGGTGTGGGGTAGTTTGAAGAAGGAATCGATGATAGGGACACTGACAGAGACATATTTTCCTCTACGAAGGACAGAAATGGATTGATCTTGATCATCTATGTCAATATAAGAGGGAATATTTGCATAAAATTCCTTCACAATG